TTTGGGAAAACAGCAAAATTATTTTTTTTATCGAGATCTACCAACCCTTAAAATATTTGCACTTATTTAAGACTCACCCTGTATAATGAAAAAAACATTTACTTTACCTTTAATAACATTCTTTGTCATAAAAAAATATACAAACCAAAATAACATCAACGCGTCTCGAACGGTAGTCTAAAAGCTATTACCTAACACCTATCGTCTCTCTTCATTGTCTGATTTCCCTCCCTCCAGTTTGTGAATAATATTTTAAAAATCAATAATTTTATTTATGTATCTATAATTAATTATGTTTTATTATCTTCAAAAATCTTGTTATTTTCAAATAGGCGAGCCATCTCAACTGTCCTGCCGAAAAGTTGTTTACAATAATGAATCTGAATAAAAAAAGACTGTGCCAAACTTCTGCAACGACTGTAATAACAAACTATTCATATTCATACGTAGCAAGTTCGTTCTGAACTTTCCACCTCGTTATGCAATTGAAATGTTCTTTCTGTCGTTCGGAATAATTAAACTATAAGCACTTTCCTACGTAGCCTGGCGACTGGCCGGTCCAAAATAGTAAACTATGACGCGCAACACGCTGTGTTGTACAATTTTCAAGTACAGTGTCAACAACTTTCGAGGTTACTTGTTAAAAATAATGTCAAACTCGCACACAAGCAGCATTTGCAACACAATAAGATTTTATATGTAGGCGAATAAGGATTCCGTTGATAGAAATATACCACAAATGGTGACGATATACCGATGTACTGCATTTACTTTTATTTGAAACTTTGGTCAATCAAATTTAATGTTTTTTTTTCGTTCAAACATGGTCATATGTGCCCCAGGAAACCACTAAACGTTTATTTGATATCAATTAAACTTTTAGTTACGTAATCGAGAGCGCGATTTTTAAAAATGCATTGTTGCCAACCATGAACAATTCGGCGCTGGGTTGACCTGAAATTTTAATTTCGCGGTGAAGATTCAGGTGGTAGCTCAGCTGTAAAAAATGTCAAGTTGCCACATTTATTTATTTATTTCCTGACATTGCCATTCGTTTTGACATTTTAGTTTTGTATTGTAACGTTTTTAGTTCGTTACATGTCTTTTTTATATATAATATATGATGATCAACCGGATTCCCTCTCGTTCAGGCCGGATAGTTTATTTGACGCGTAATTTTTACGTTCCCTAGTCTCCAACCCTGTTATCGTTCGACACAACCCTGTTACTATTCTGTGGAGGCGCGCGCTGTCAACATCGCTTCTGTCAACTCTCCGTGCTTAACCTCACTTTGTTTTGACTCTCTGTTGTATCCCAGCTTTTAGAAATGGTGATTATTTAAATCTTGCTGTATAATTTGAATCAGCTGCTATTTCGAGGCTACAGGTAAAGATAGTTATTACCTTTTATAGATTCGATATTATTATTGAATATTTTTAGGGTAGAGTTACGGATGTCCCAACTTGTATTTGTGTTTTGCTGGCACGTTGGCGTCCCTTTTCTTTTGTCCTCCAGAATGTCACATGGAAGAAAGGACATGTTGTTTATTATTTATTGAGCCCTCGGAAGTATTTCGAGGTAGGTTTATTTTGTTTATTAGACCTTGTTTGGTTTTAAACAAGAGTTTCATATTTTTAGGGTCCAAGGTACGGACTGTGTCCAAGGTACGGACTATTTCCAAGGTACGGACTGCGTCCAAGGTACGGACTGTGTCCAATGTACCGACTGTATCCAAGGTACGGACTGTGTCCAAGGTACGGACTATTTCCAAGGTACGGACTGTGTCCAAGGTACGGACTATTTCCAAGGTACGGACTATTTCCAAGTGCCACAGCGTGGATGTAGCTTGAGTCCCATGCTGCTTCACTCCCATTTCTAAGCCTAGTCAGTAGCTACGGCTGTAGTGATTTATGGTGTCCTCAATCTGGCCCCTTTTGTTGTTTTGGCCAACAGGATCGCCGACAGACAGTACAGAGATGCTAGACCACCTCACGCTGCTACTGTTTGAAGCAAGGTTACATAAAAGAACAGCTAAGTGTATATTTAAGTTCTAGTTTTACATTTAACATCTAAAACATTTTCAGTCTTAAACAATAACGTACATCTTAAGTAATATCGTACAGACTATGTTCAGTGGTTAGATTGTTAAGAACATTCATGTCGATATAATCTTTAAAATATAATTTAGATCTTAGGTTTCATTGCATTACGTCTTGTAAGAGTATTACTTTCTATAGATATTATTATTGCGCTATATTAACAGATGAATAACGAGACATAGATTCTAGAATCTACAGGTTGCAACACATCAGAACACCGCATAAGATTTAACAATTTAAATAAAGTAATGCTACATTTCATATTTTCTCTTAAACTTTACATGTCCTGTATTTTATCGTAGTTGTTTTCATTGATATTTAGTACGACTCTTACCACCACTTTCTTTGACATATAACCACTATATATTTACTAGAACTCTACAATGTCATATATCAGCAAAGAACGTCATGAATAAATATAGTCATTAGTTTTAAGTATTATACAACTGTGTTTTCTTTCTCTGTACATGCCTGGCGCCCAATATCTATATATCTTTTGTTAATTATTACTGATTAATTTTCTCTCTAGTGAAATACCTTATCCACGACTGCCTGGCGCCCAATATCTATATATCTTTTGTTAATTATTACTGATTAATTTTCTCTCTAGTGAAATACCTTATCCACGACTGCTCTCCGATGAAAAGCTGCCGTTCGCAGTGGTAGTGGTTTAAAAAACGCTACAGTATAACGAGTTTTTGGTTTAAATAAATAGTGTTGTGATTTGTGATACTTTAAGCTTCAAAATGTTTACTAGCAGACCTTGCACTCGAACCAGAACCTCTTTTAGTGCGTAGTGTACAAGATAGCTTAATAGCCGTAAAAAAACTTATCGCAATTTTATTAGAATATCTTGAACGGGAAAGCGGTAGTAATGGCCCTTTGTGTCCCTTAAGTGCCGTTAAGAAGGTGAGTTTTGTTGATGTAAATAATAACTGGTTGTAACGTTTTCTTGACACAATGCAAACGGCAGCTTTTCGTCTTTGCAAGCAGTCGTAGGTTCGTTTTTTATTTTTTTTATTAGGTGTTATAATTAATCAATAAAACAATAATTATTGGGCGCCAGGACATTCACTCAGAAATAACAGATCTCTTTAAACCAACTTAAATTTATTTATAATTAAAAAAATATTAGACAAGGACAGTAATTGATGGATGAAGTTAGGTTTTTAAAATGAATTAATACTTAAGTTAATCAATCAAGTTTGGTTTATATGATTAGATTAATTTTTATTTTCAAATTCTATATTTTATTAGTCCTTTTCAACTATCAGCTGTTAGTATTATATCGTTTTTATCGCAGAAACACCTAAAGGAAGTGTAGCTTATTATATACTCTTACATTCTCTTTTGTATGAGAATGACCTCATTAGATAAGACCACTTTCGTTGTTCATAAGAATCTCTTGTCCTTTTACTTTTAACTGGTAAAATTTATTCAAATATTGTAATTTTCTCTTTGTGGTTTTATAGTACCGACGTCATGGATAACTTAATATACATACAATAGATTAATTATCGAATTCAAGCTGTATTGTTTGTAAGGTGAGAAAATTACTTTGAATTACCTATAGTCAGAAATATCGCATACTAATGTAATTTAAATGACTTATTTTCTCTAACAAAAATTGAATTATTTCATACTAGCGTGTACCAGCGACTTCGTTCGCGTCGAATTAATCATTTGTAATGGTGATGATAAAGCAAAGCAAGAATTTCCATTAACATACAAACTGGATAACATTTTCTCACATTTATGTCAGCATGAGAAAAAACAATATGGCGATATTATTATATAACTTAGTAATATTTGAGGGGTAGTTTCATCTCGCTGGAATTTGACTTTCGAAAATCCGTTTGCCAAAAATAAGCTTTTTACGTCAAGCAGTTTAAGCAGAATCGTGGTTAAGAAATTACCCAACTTTTTGGAACACCTTGTAAGATTTTTTAAAAAATTTCAAAATATGTAAAAAAACGAAATAAATTATGCTTGTCCAAGCGTTTTCCCGAAAGACTAACCGTTTTTTAAATAACAAATATTGTAATATTTGAGGGGCGTTTTCACCTGCATGGAATTTGAGATTCGAGAAACCCCTCCTTATCGAACCTCTACACCCCACAGTCAATCCGTTTGCCAAAAATCAGCTTTAAACGTCAAGCAGTTTAAGCAGAATCGTGATTACTCAATGGTCATACTTTATGAAACACTCTGTATAAATTTATAAAAAATCTTAAAATATGTAAAACAACAAAATAAAATATACGTGTTTAAGAGTTTTTCCGAAAAACTCACCGGTTTTTAAATAAAAAATATTTTAATATTTGAGGGATAGTTTCACCCCCTTAGAATTCGAGTTTCGAAAAATCCCTTCTTATGGAACCTCTACACAGTCAATCCGTTTTCCAAAAATCAGCTTTTTAAGTCAAGCGCTTTAAGCAGGATCGTGATTAATCAATGACCAGATTTTTCGAAACACCCTGTATACATTTTTAAAACATCTTAAAATATGTAAAAAAACAAAATAAAATATACGTGTTTAAGCGTTTTTTCGGAAACTTGACCGTTTTTTAAATAAAAAATATTGTAATATTTGAGGGGTGGTTTCACCTTCTTAGAACTGGAATTTCGAAAAATCCCTTCTTATCGAACCTCTACACCCTAGAATCAACCTGTATGCCACAATTGAGCTTCTTACGTTGAGTGATTTGAGCAGGCTCGTGATTAATCAATATGTCAGTCACTTAAGGATTTTATATATTAGTATAGATAAAGAATATAAAGATTTATTATATCAAATTAAGAAGCTGTTATTGTTTGAGGTAAAAGACTCTCAGACTCCATCAAAATTGAACTATTGCGAGGTATATAAACATTGCTAAAAACAGTCTCTTTTTGTTATAGATCTCGCAAAAGAAGGACAAGTAGTAGTCAAGATGAAAATCTACATCCGAAAGCCATGGATGAATGCAGTGCTGCACTGGTACTCATGAGTCTTTCATGTTCTCCGCAAAATGGTGAGTATCTAGTCAAATTTATTTGAATTTCACCTAAAAAATTAATAAGAAATACTTAAACAAGGAACACAAAAGTATTAAATATGAATAATACAAATAAAAAATTCTATGAAAAATATAACTAATCCTAATATACACAATGTTTATTATAATTACCCTATATTTATACGAAATATTATCTCCATCATTATAGACATCACGTTGACCTGCTTCAATAAATCGAGTACTTTAGATAGTCTCGTTTAGTGACCCTGTGCATTATATACTCATTTATTTGAAATAACTTAAGTCAATATTAGTTTAGTGACAATCCAGGTCGACGAAATAGGTTTTAAATTATATTCAAAACTGAAAACATAGCTCTTTTTGTATAAAACAAAGAGAAAAAGTCTAAACATGGTACTATTTGAATCAAATTAAAAGGAACTTATTTACATACCCATTTTTTTCGTTGGGGTATAAAACAAAGGTAAGAACGCCATAGAAAAAAAAACGATTATCGGCTAAAGCCACTGTGACCTCGACAGTATGACTAAACTACGTACCGAACAAAGGCTATCTCACGTTTGGCATTTCATTTTGCAAAATGCACTTGGGGCAAAGTACGGCCGTACTGCAATTGGGAAAGCCGTTCCAAGAAGCACATTCGGATCGTTTATCATATCTTGTTGCAATTGACATTTCACAAATTCTAAATGGAAGATCAATTAGTTAAACAACTGACTAAGTACTGTTTTACACAATTAAATTGTTTTTTTTGTCTACACATTTTATTGATTTTTATAGTGAAAATATCTAAACAAATATGAATGAACTTTTATTGTACTATGTAACTTTATAGATCTACTGAGGTCGTTTTCCAAAAAGTTTAATAACTTGGAGACTCGGCCTTCAATAAAGCTATTTTCCAATGCTTTCGTAATCATCATTTTTAGCTTATTCAACCATTATTTAGATACTCTCTTTGTAGTTGGGCCTATTGTTGTCTATTATTGGTTATGTGGGCCCAAGTTGTCCCTGCTACATTTCTAATATCATGGTCCGATCTCAGATTTAGTCTTTTTCTAGGTCTCTTAATTCTTCGTAGGTCTATGTATCTATCATTTCATATCATTATTTTAGCTGTTTAATTTTACTTTTTTCAGTTTAATCATTTGTCCCAGATATATATACTCTTCAACTTGTTCTATTTTGTCTCGGTTTATTCTGGTTGTTATGTTTTCATCTGTGTTTGTTATGATTTTAGTTATAGTGTAGTTCATATTTAGACATATTCTTCTAGCTGCTGTATCCAGTTCTTCCAGCATGCATTCTACCAGTTCTTCTTTCTTTTCTGTTATTAAGGCGATATCATCCGCATATCTTAGGTGATTCAAGTATTGTCCACATATTTTGATACCTTTTTCTTCCCAGTCTAAATTTTTGAAAACGTCTTCTAATGCCTGGTTAAAGAGTTTAGGGGATATTGTGTCACCCTGTCTGACACCTCTTCCTATGCGAATTGGCTTTGTTCCTTCATGGATTTTAATTGTTGTTGTTGTTTTGCTATATACGTTGGCTGTTAATGTTGACTCAATACTATCAAAAGTCTTTTCAAAATCTACAAATGCAATATATAGTGGGATGTTGTATTCATTGGCTCGTGCTATTAGTATTTTCATAGTTAATAAGTGGTCAACTGTACTGTATCCTTTTCTGAAGCCTGCTTGTTCTTTTGTTTGGTATCCGTCAAATTTTGTTGTTAGTCTATCGGTGAATATTTTCGTGAAGAGCTGATAAATTACGTTAAAGAGTGTTATAGGACGATAGTTTTTTAGATCTGCTCTATCACCTTTTTTATGTAGTATGATGGTTATGGATTCCTTCCAGTCGTTTGGGGTTATTTTTTCTATTAGGATTTTATTCAGGAGAATATAAAGAGTATTAACTACAGCTTTTCCGCCGTACTTTAGCATTTCTGTTGTTATTCCGTCATGGTCTAAGTGGGTATCATGCTGTAATTTTTGTGGTCCATCTGTTGTCCGTCCTTATTGCCAGGTGTCCTATCCATTGCCACTTGAGAGATTTGATTCTGTGGATGACATCTATTACCAGGGTCTTTTGTCTGGGTCACAAATAACGGAAAGGCAAACAATTTTTTTTATTTTTTTTTCAGTTTATAGGTACTCCTGAAACTGTAAGTAAAATTATTTTTATATTTTCAGGCTTTTGTTCAAATAATAATTGTAACATTTTAGGGCCATTGTTATATTTAATGACATAATAATATAGCCACACCAAAAATCTGCTATATAATTGGTTAAAATTCTTGGTACCACGAAGGTTAATATATACGTTCACGTTTGTTGACCCTCTCTAAATAAATCATCACACTATTGTATACTCCCTGCTAAAATATTCAATTAAGTTGTACGGAATATAGTAACAATCACTTTTGCCAAAAGTTCATTGATCTATTTAATGGTTGTTTGACACAAACCTGACAGAAATTATACCGTATGATCGAAAACAAAAACGGTTGACTTGGAAATGATAGCCAGGACACAGTAGGAAAATATCCTTTGGTCTTTTCCGACTGTATCCCCAATAGACGGTAGGCAATCTTTTTCTTTTCTTCAATATGGAAAGGAATATCCGAGTCATTGTTGTTTTTAGTATTGAAAATACTTCTGGCCGCGTTCATATGGGACCCGTCTTTGAAAAAACGGTATGCTAGAGGCAAAGTTTACAGAATAAAATATCTAGAGGCGATATGGTACGGCCCAAGTTCAATAACCTGCCTAATCAACTTGTCAACACGTAAGTCGATAGTTTAGCCGGCGTTGATCATCGAATAGAGCAAGGACGTTCGAGGGCCGAAATGAGGTCTTATCAGTGGGGCCAACTATTTTATGGATATGGATGTTTAGTCTGGCAAAGCCGATATTATTATAAAAAAGAATATGCGTCAAGGCATGGGTTGTTATATAGGTACAGTTGGGCTATTTTAATCTAACTCTTTCCGTATGAGAAGCAAGGGGCAAATTATACGTGAAAGAGCGGAATAACATAAATAATAAATTTAGACTAATGCAATATTTTTTCTTGGCGCGTAGGATATTGCGCACAATCGATGCATTAAAGGGAATAATTAATTAAATCATTGAATTCCAAAACATATAATAATTCGGGTCTTATCGGATCTGTTGATACATTTTGATAAGAATATATAAACAAGGATAAAATTGAGGCTATTAGGACCTATATTTTTTATATGATTATTATTTTTTAACTAACAACTTAGGACAAAGAAAAAGCTTGCATGGTTTCCACCACCAACAGGCGTAAAAACAAATGAATCCAAGGCGGTGCCAAATATTTATTGGGATAAGTTTTTATCGTTTGAATATTGTTGTAAATAAAAATTATCATTTAATTAGTGCTAACTTATCAAAGTTCACAACGCGGCGAAATTTCAACAAAATCGGCCAACGGATCTTTGAGATATTAATAAAAAAGGTCTATTAGAAAACACCTTGACACCCTGTATCTTTAAAATTTTACATTTCCGGACACATGTTTATATGAACTTTTTACCTTAAAAACACTCAAAGAATCTTAGAATTAGTAAAGAATTAGTAATTAAGACTTTACTTTAGAATTTTTTTTAATTGCCATTTTTCTTGTCGTTCACGTTGCACGTTGACTCTTCATTGTGTCACACACAATCTGAATTTCGTATATGATGCAGAACTGATAAATTGGACCAAATATATTGTCAGGGAATACAAAGTGTCTTGTTTTTCAAATTAATATTTTTTTTAGAAAATATGCGACAATAATTTTATTATTGTTTTGAGTAGTTTATTTGACATTTCAAAATTTACATGGAATTGTTTCCTATGTCCCATGTTCCGATGCACCACACGGTATTATATTAATAAACGAACAAAGACTAAATTATCTATTTTTTCACAACAATGAAACAATTTTGGAATGCCTCGTTTAACAAATGAATGTACTTATCTAATATGGGTGTCAACAATGAACCTTTGACACGCTTGAGCGTAAAATAAAAAAGCCTACTGCCTGCAGTACTGAGGCCTGTCGTTCGATAGACGAAATATAGGTCACACTACCCGCATATGCACAACGCATTGACATTGAATAGAATTCTTTTATGCAGTACAGCCATAAAATTCACATATATATGCCCACTCTTAGATCGTTGAACTATTGTAGTAAAGTGTCTACTTGTATGAGTGATCTTTTGTCATAGAGTTTATTAATTTAATCACCCACACGTTTATCGAGGAATAAATTCATTGACCTCATAGGCTTTATGTAATTTTTACGACTCATTTCGTAATCATAAAATTAGATCATAGTATCAGTGTTGTGATTCTCTCTTAGTAGTAGGAGAACCCGAGACCTTTTGTTTTGTAAAAATTAGATGATAAAAAATATGTTATATGATATATATTATGTTCTTTTATTGTTGGGAGGAACGTATATAGGTTTTCAAAAAAGTAAAAAAAGTCACAAAGAAATACTTGGGGCTGCTCTCACTACCGGTTTCGGGGCCCTACCCCATCATCAGGTGAGCTGATGGGGTAGGGCCCCGAAACCGGTAGTGAGAGCAGGTTGATCCACATTATGTCGAACACAGCGTGGAATTAATTTCTATATTAGCAGTTCAAGGCAAGAAACTCTTATATAATTTTATTATATACCTAAAAACTGCAAGAAATTTATTTTCCTTCATTTGACAGTTATCTTTTACCTTGACTGGTGCTCATAAGTAAATACAGGGCCATAAGAAAGGAGAAATATTTAAAAAGAAATCGGCGATAACTCGTAAACGAGCTAATCAAAAATATCTAAAGTTATTCTTTTGAATGTGGGTTTTAGTGCTCTTCAATAAACCTAAATAGAATTATTCTCTAAAATAATTAGGGAAGCCAATACTTGACCCCATTAAAATTTACATGGGATTTCCTATGTCCCGTCCGACGATGCAA